TTCCCTACCACCACTAGAGGACTTTTTCTTTAAATCAGAAACTGATACAGCACTTAAGTGTTATAATGTTATAATGATCTATTGCCACAACCTACTAGCTCCTTTAAATTCCCAACTTTCATTTAAAAAAGTAAATCCCTTTTTGTTGCAGAGATTTAAGAGAAAATTGCCCAATTGTCTTTCCCCTTGTATTTTCGCGACAAAATGGGCTACAGACTTCATTTTTAATAAAAGCTGGGAATTCAGAGGAACTAGTAGATCATGATAATATTACCATGCCATAGTGATACATAGTGATACAAACCCCTCCACTGGGTGCCGGTAGGGATTGTCCCCACCCCTAATAATTGTGGCCATAGGTTAGGGATAAATGAGTAACTGTAGCCGCTCAGAGACCCCTTAGGGGGTTAGAGCGGGGTAGTAAGCTGAAAGAAATAAAATAACAACAACAACAACAACAATAATAATAATAAGAAGAAGAATCTATTTCTAATTTTTTAAAGTCCTCTTGTGGTGGTGGGAGGAATAGCAGCTCAGGGAGGGCAAAGCAAGGAAAATAGCACCCATGCAGGCAGAACCTGAAAAACTTCACACCTTCCTGGTTCACATAGCATGCAAATGTGCTTTGGTTGCAATCTTTCCAAAAAGATCACAGCAATGCAAGAGAAGACACAGAACCAAGATGAAAAGGTATGATGTCATGTGGATACGTCCCCCAAAACCCAAGGGTTGGAGCAAAACAACCCTAAGGAAGCAGCTGGGAGGGCTCACTATAAAAATGAATGTTACTTTATAAGAAAGTGTTATATTTTTAAATCTGGGTGAAACAGCTGTGTGGTCTGGGACAACCAACTGCTCCTTGGACTCAGTTTCCTGCTATGTAACAAGACAATCATAGTTACCATTGCACTGTTTAGAGAGAGAAAAAGAAATTTGATTTATACCCCGCCCTTCACTACCAAAAGGAGTCTCAGAGCGGCTTTCCCTTCCCCTCCACACGACACCCTGTGAGGTAGGTGGGGCTGAGAGAGCTCTGACAGAAACTGCTCTTTTTCAAGAACAGCTGTGCCAGAACTATGGCTTGCCCAAGGTCATCCAGCAGGTGCAAGTGGAGGAGTGGGGAATCAAACCCGGTTCTCCCAGATTAGAGTCCGCGCACTTAATCACTACACCAAACTGGCTCCAACAATTCCAAATGTGAGAAAGACTACAAAGTACTGAGCAAACTGAGAAATGCTGTAAGAAATTATCAATAGTTGCAAAAATTTAACTTGTTTTCACATCACCTTTAAAGTAGCACTGCGCTCATGTCCTGTTGGAATTCTTTGAACTGGATGAACACCCAGACATGAAAAGACAAATCCTGGATACCTGCATACAAACAATGTATTAAAGGATGGAAGACAACAAACTCTTCATAATAAGACGTAAGGGTAAAGGTAATACATCTTTTATTATTCCAATCAATGGTACAAATTATGAAAAAATGGCTTGGCCTGAAGAATGAAAAGAGAAAAAGAGTTTTATCATTCCTTTCGCCATTTCTTCCTCCTAATAATCACACTTTTCCAGATGTAAGCCTCTACTTTTGAGTATGTCTTAGAATCAATCCAAACATTTCTATGTAAGCTACAGCAATAGTTTTATTTATGTACTTAATTGTATCCCACACCTTTTCCCCAAAGAGTTCAGGTTTTCTCCAGTTCATCTTCACTTCAGTCTTGTAAAATAAATGTTAAACTCACTGGTTAAGGACGCATCAGTGAGCTTCACTGGGTGTGCATTTGAACCAGGGAACTGTTGGTCCAACATTTTATGTACTGTGCAGCTTTATTTGCTATATTGTAATGGAATCAATTGCATTAAATTGCTCTAATTTTACTGTAAAATGTTATGGTACCAATCCAAAACAGTTATAATTTGAAACATTCATGGGCCTGTGTGCATCCAGTGAGATTTCTGGCTGCATTCAGATGTCACAATGAACTTCTGTTCTTGACAAACTCGGCTTATTTCTGTGCTTGCATGTTCCCCTTCTTCTCTTCTCCTTGTCTGCAGAGGGAAATGGAAAGCTTCCTGGTTTTAGAAGCCTTCACTCAAACTCCAGTTAGTCATAATGTCTGGATACAGGAGCCAGGTCAAACTGGAATCTGTTTCCTTCACACAAACCAAGATTCTAAACTGGGATACTTTAGAACCCCAGGTTCTTTGGATCCTAGCCTGGAACTTGTTTCCAACAAGAGAGAAAAAACTGGAAATGTTGGTACCTTTCTGAAAGCTGAATAATTCTTTCAAACTCTCCTGAATGTTCAGCAACTACAACCAGGGCTAAAACTTTCGCCTGAAACAACAAGAAATAAGTTACTGATTTCAAGAACAACCAGATCCAGAATTCATTTATTTGAAAAACTACAGTTCTGGCATTACTTTGAAATTAATAAAATTCCTACATCTATCCTATTATGTTTTGGACCACACCACAGTGGGTGGGTCCTACAGCATGTTGCCGCAGGTCCAAGGGCTTCCACCCACAAAGCAAGACTTCCGTATCTCCCCCCACTTGCAGCAGTTCAAAACTGCTCCCAGAATCCTGGGCAAGAGGGGACCATATGACTGTGGAAACACACCATTAGATCCACTGCATTCAGTCATAACATATCAAATGTGAATTATCAGCTCTGCGCAAACTTCCTAAAACTAAGTGCGGAGATCAACCTTCTGGAGCTTAGGTATAAATTGCTAAAACTTTACACCACAAAACAGTTCTAAATATAACAAACCTGCTTTGCTTCTTCCAATACATCTTCAACATCCTGAAAAATAGTAGAGATAATTGTGCTGGGTGTTTGCTTGGTAGAGAAAGAAGTACAGCACCAAATAACAAGCATTCATATTCCCTTATGAAATAAAGTGTGGAGTAATTAAGTATTTTAGATGGTTGTCCTTTCTCTGAAAAGGGGGGAAAAACACCAGTACCATCTATCTACACTCCTACTTTTAGGCCCAGATATTCAGCTACAGATAAAGGTTTTGTACCAATGCATTTAATGCACAAATGCTTTGTTGCTCTTCTTTAAAAAAATCTGTCTGCGGCTTCCAGTGATAGAGTGGCTATGGTCAGAATTATCACAGACCAAAGATCACTTCTTTTCTATGCTGAGGTTTAGGTTGGAACCAATAAGTCCCTAACAAACATCATAACCACCAAAAGAGACACGTATACTCAGATTATTAGTATATAAAATCTGTTTTAAAAGCTGTTTGTTTTGTTCCTTAGCCACCACATATTATATAGTATTCTTTTGCTCTATGCTAACATTATAATCTTATCTTGTTTCCCGATGTGTTTAAGGTGTTTTTAAAAGGACTTTGGTGGATAGTATTGTTACATGTACACCCCAAGATCATTGGATAGACTGATTCACAATGGGTAGGTTCCAAGCTCACAACATTATATTCCCCTCTGCCATCAAGCTCACTGGGTGACCTTAGGCCAGACACACACTCTCTGTGCCCAACCTACGTCAAAGGGATGTTTTGAAGATAAAATGCTGCCCAGAACTCTTTCTAGGAAGGGCAGGATGAAAATGTAGCTCAGTGTCAGGTTCCGGGATGTCTGCATCCGTGTCAAGTGCCTCCCTTGTCCATCACACCCTTTACTCTTGTTTGGGGCTTGCAGAGACTTAAAACAAGAGAAGGAAGGGGGCTTGCAGCATCTAGTTCTTCCTTTCCTCCTGTCTCACCTACACAGCCTAGAGAGTCCAGCCACATCCTCATTGGCCTGCTTCTAAGAAAAAGAGCTGGTTTTTATACTCCACTTCTCTCTACTTTAAGGAGTCTCAAAGCAGCTTACAATCACCTTCCCTTCCTCTCCCCACAACAGGCACCTTGTGAGGTAGGTGGGGCTGAAAGAGCTCTGAGAGATCTGTGACTGACCCAAGGTCACCCAGCAGGCTTTACTTACAGGAGTGAGGGATCACATGCTCAGCCAATTCCCCTGAAGTCTTGCAAAAACTATCAACCTTCTAAGACCTCAAGGAATTCTTAGGTGGCTGTGCCTAAGCCGTCTCCCCCCTCCCATTGCCCTGGAAGGACTAAAGTACTGACAGCTCCTGGTGGTGGCTGACTTGGAGGCTTAAATAGCTCATACGGTGTTCCTGCTGTTTCGGGATTCCTTCTTGTTGCCACTGTCCTTGTGAGCTTCCCTGTTGCCGGCACCGGGGGTTCCCAAGTGAGCGTTCTGTAGTCGAGCAGGGGGCGTCTATAAAGTGCGGTGGGAGAAGGCGGGACGGCAGAGGGAGGAGAGAGCCAGGCGGCTTTAAGATAGGGAGGGACGACGCCAAGCCGGGCACCGTGCGGAGCCTGGGGGGGAGGAAGCCCGCCTCATACAGCCGTGCGGCCGCCAGCGCCAGGCCCCACTCCAACACTCTCACCGCCGCTGCGGCCGCAGCCGCCATGGGGATGTGGGGAGAGAGCTTCGTCGCCTACTACCGCCGATAGCAATTTCTCCTCCCAACATTGCTCACCTCTTGGAATTCAGGCGCCGCGAGGTGGCAATGGCAATCCACCGGCCCCATTTTATAACACTGGAACTCCTAGCAAAGGCGTAATTTTCCAGCCGGATGTATTTTCTTACATCCCATTTTTGCCTCGGTACTATTTTCGGTTGGACTCGGCTTAGTTCCACTTCCGGTCGGAGAAGCGCGCCCTGTGGGCGGATCCTTTCAGCAACGGTTTAGGGAGAGTGGGAAATGGCGGCAGAGACGGAGGCTGTGCCTTCGGCGACGCCCCCCTGCTCCTCTCCAGGCCGAGACCCCCGCGTGCGGTGCCGCTCGCGCCGCTGGACGGCGGAGTTGATGGGCCACTGCAAGTCTTACATGCGCGCGCTCGGGGACGAGCAGCCGGTTGAGGCCGAGACCCTGAAATGGGCTCTCAGCGAAGCCGTCTGGGTAAGAGCGGCGGAGGGAGGAAGCGGAGGTGGTGGCGGTGAGGGGAGACGGGGGTTTTAAGCGTCTCTTTTTAACCGCGCTTAGGAGATAAGTGACAGGTCGAAAATCGGGTGCCCTTTAATAAGTTTTGGTCGGCTCGGTTGTAAGGCCTCAACTGTCCCTATTTTTGGGTACCGCTCCCGGTTGATTCACGCCCCATTTTACACCACCCCGTTTTTGCTTTGAGGGTTTTTACCCGTGCTGTAGATGCCGTTCGTTGGGGTGCAGCTTCGATCCCCAGCTTTTTTAGAATTTAATTTATGGGTGCTTGCATATATCCATTCGTATTTCTATCGTGAATGGTGAGTAAGCATGAAAACGAAGGCAGTGTGCAGGCTGTCATACACTCAGTGGCTGATGACGTATATTTTGAACTTTTTGATAACACCTTGTTGTACACTTCTGTTTTTCTAGTATTGTATTTTACCTAAAGATGACATTTCTGTGGTTTTCAGTATTGTGTGACAAGAAAAAACACCAGCTGATGCCATACTCTCAGAGAGTGTGTCTCTGAGCTTCACCTGTAAATTTTATTCATGTCTAAGGATCTTAACTAAAAATAAAGCCACATCCTTAATATAATACTTTCTATTTCTAAAGGTTTTTAAAAGTGTTTACATATTTATGATGCTTAAAACAGCCCTGTGAATTAGGCCAGTGTTATCTCCATGTAACAGATCAAATAGCTGAGGATGAGAGATGGTAACTTAATAATATAAGAAGAGCCCTGCTGGATCAGACCAGTGGTCCATCTTAGTCCAGCATCCTGTCTCACACAGTTTCTCTGAAGGTCCAGCAACAGGGCATAGAGGCCATAAGAACATAGAGGCCATAAGAACATCAGGCCAAAGGCCCATCCAGTCCAACACTCTGTATCACACAGTGGCCAGAAATACCAGTGCCATCAGGAGGTCCACCAGTGGGCCCAGAACATTAGAAGCCCTCCCACTGTTGATCCCCCCAAGCACCAAGAAGACAGAGCATCACTTGCCCCAGAGTCCCTATCTACACCTTGTGGCTAATAGCCACTGATGGACCTCTGCTCCATATGCTTATCTAATTCCCTTTTGAAGCCGTCCATGCTTGTAGCCGCCACCACTTCCTGTGGCAGTGAATTCCATGTGTTAGTCACTCTTTGGGTGAAGAAGTACTTCCTTTTATCCGTTCTAACCCGACCGCTCAGCAATTTCATGGAATGCCCACGAGTTCTTGTATTGTGAGAAAGGGAGAAAAGTACCTCTTTCTCTACCTGCTCTTTCCCATGCATAATCTTATAAACCTCAATCATGTCACCCCTCAGTCGTCGTTTCTCCAAGCTAAAGAGCCCTAAGTGCTTTAACCTTTCCTCATAGGGAAAGTGTTCTAACCCTTTTATCATTCGTCTTGCCCTTTTCTGCACTTTTTCCAAAGCTATAATATCCTTTTTAAGGTGTGGTGACCAGAACTGCACACAGTATTCCAAATGAGGTTGCACCATTGATTTATATAGGGGCATTATGATATTGGCTGATCTGTTTTCAATACCCTTCCTAATAATCCCCAGCATAGCATTGGCCTTCTTTATTGCAGTCACACACTGTCTCGACATTTTCAGTGAGTTATCTACTACAACTCCAAGATCTCTCTCTTGATCAGTCTCTGCCAGTTCAGACCCCATCAACGTGTATTTATAGTTAGGATTTTTGGCTCCAATGTGCATCACCTTGCACTTGGCCACATTGAACCCCATTTGCCATGTTGACGCCCACTCGCCCAAAATTGACAGATCCCTTTGGAGTGCCTCACAATCCTCACTGGTTTTCACCACCCTGAACAACTTCGTATCATCCGCAAATTTAGCCACTTCACTGCTTACTCCCAACTCCAAATCATTAATGAACAAGTTAAAAAGCAGTGGACCAAGTACTGATCCCTGCGGTACCCCACTGCTTACCACCCTCCACTGAGAAAATTGCCCACCTACACTCACTCTCTGTTTTCTATGAACTAGCCAGTTTTTGATCCATAAAAGGACTTGTCCTTCTATCCCATGATTTTTGAGCTTACTTAGGAGCCTTTGATGAGGAACTTTATCAAAAGCTTTCTGGAAGTCAAGGTAAATAATATCTATTGGATCCCCCTTGTCCACATGTTTGTTCACCCCCTCAAAGAACACTAACAGGTTAGTGAGACAAGATCTTCCCTTACAGAAACCGTGCTGAGTCTGCCTCAATAGGTTTTGTTCATCTATGTGCCTACTAATTCTTTCCTTAATAATGGTTTCCACCAATTTACCCGGTATCGACGTCAGACTGACAGGCCTGTAATTTCCCGGATCTCCTCTGGAACCCTTTTTAAAGATGGGAGTGACATTAGCTACCTTCCAATCCTCAGGAATGGAGGCAGATTTTAAGGAAAGATTACATATCTTTGTCAGGAGATCTACAAGTTCACATTTGAGTTCTTTCAGAACTCTCGGATGTATGCCATCTGGGCCTGGTGATTTATCAGTTTTTAAGTTGTCTATCAGTTTTAGGACCTCCTCTCTCATCACCTCAATCTGACTCAGGTCTTCCAACACCCCTCCTGAAATCAGTGGTTCTGGAGTGGGCAAGCACTTCTCATCTTCCACAGTGAAGACGGAGGCAAAAAATGCATTTAGCTTCTCAGCCATTTCCCTATCATCCTTCAATACTCCTTTTACCCCTTGGTCGTCCAAGGGCCCCACTGCCTCCCTGGCTGGTTTCCTGTTTCTAATGTATTTGAAGAAAGTTTTATTGTTGGTTTTTACGTTTTTTGCTATTGTAACCATGCAAGGCTTTTTCCTATACCTGTTTGTGCCTTTCCTAACCTGCAGAATATTTTTTTTTAGCTTCTAGGATCGTAGTTTTAAATAGTTTCCAAGCTTCCCCAATGGTTTTGACCCTTTCTACTTTTCCTTTCCGTTTCCTCCCCACATGTCCCCTCATATCAGAGAAATTACCCCTTTTAAAGTTAAAAGTGGTTGTGTGAGTCTTTTTGGCCAATTCCCTATTTATACAAATGTTGAACTCAACATTATGATCACTGTTCCCAAGCGGTGCAATCACTTTTACATCTTTCACCAGGTCTTGAGTGTTACTTAGGACCAAATCAAGGATCGCCTCTCCCCTGGTAGGTTCCGTGACCATCTGCCAAGACCTGATGTAGCCTCCTGGCTTTCAGAGGTTTAGTGCCTCCTAACATGGAGGTTCCTTTTAGTTACCATGGCTAGTATCCACTGATAGACCTATTCTCCATGAATTTAAAGCTGTTTATTCCTGTGGCCATCACTATATTCCCCTGGTAGAGAATTCCACATTTTACTCTCATTTTTGTCACTCTCAGCGTGTCAGGACTGTGTCTTAGTTGCAGTCTGAAACTCGTGAGCTAGTGAACTCTTTGTACCCCGTGTCTATCAGGGCCTATGAGGTTGTGTTTTTCTGGAACTAGTCTTGGGGAGAACCTGCCAGGTCTTTGGAAGATTAGGTAGATATTTCTCCTTGTGTTGCAAAGTCGTTTCAAGTCACGCCCTTGTTTTTGTTTTTGGCAATATATGACAGCCTCTGAGTGATACATGAGGTACACCAGCTACCTACCAGCTGTCAACCAATATCCTCTTTTGACAACAGTCTCTGCCCTGGGCAGTCTCTGCCCTGAGCAATCCCTCCCTGCACAGTGTTTATAGGACAGCAAGCAGCATTCTTTATTATCAAAGGCTTTTAAAGTTGCTTTATAGGGTTGTGTGGTAATTGGTTTTAATCCTAGCTTGCAAGGTATATGGGTGCACTTTATGTCTGTGTTTGACATCTTTTTAGAATTGGAGGGGGGGCAGGCTTGCCAGGTAGCCTGAGAAGCCTCTTGTTTTTTCAGTCTCTGACAAATAGGAAAATCAAGTTCTTGTTAGGGTGCATTTGGGGAGGTCTGGTCTGTAGGCTGGCCATCCCAGCTTTTCAGCTGGGTGAAGTGGCTTCTCTCAGGTAGCAGGTTTCAATAAATTTGTTTCCTAGCAAGATACCTTTGAACTTTATTAGGCCTGGGCTTGGAGGACCAGCATCTTCCCTCCTGTCTCTGCATCCATTCCTCAGGATCTGCTTCTTTCCCTGCATTCTAATTCTCTCATCCCATGGTAATATTTCTGGGGTGCTCTTTGGGTCTCCTCCCACCCGACATCTAGAAAAAGGTGTTCTAGAGGTGTTCTAGAGGTGCTTAGAATCTGTTACATCAAAGTCAAATGCAGCTAATTGAGCATATGATCTCCAGGAAATTGAGTACTTAAAGGTCTTCGTTGTTCTTTATGGTGTCTGTATTCATATGAGATCTTGATTTTCATACAATCTTCTCCAACCACAGGGACATATTTGAGCAGGTGTTGAAAGGTTGCCACATAATACTTCTGTTATTATGGATAAGATCTACCAACTAATGATTGTTGTCACCACATTTTCCAATGCATTTTCATGTACTTCTACCCCCTTTTTGTTTTTCACCACTACTGAACATCAAGTCTGTCCCCATGGTGCATTTGGGATCTTTCTTATGCTGTATTGATATGTTTGGTACTGGCTTTTATGTAAATTAATTACCATATATATTTTTTCAAGCATTTTATTTGAGCTGCAGATGGATTTTCTGCACTGGGCACCAAAATCTCTTAGACAGTCCATACACAAATGGCAATATAGTAGGTGTGAAATTGGCATAGTTCACCAGTATCAAACCATGAGTTGACACTATCTGAATGAGCTCTTTGCTCACCACTCCACACACTTGGAGTTTCTCATTATGTCTTTTGATTGTGGTTTGTGCTCCACACCTGGATTGTAAAGCATAAGCAAGCATAGTGATTTGCAATCCTATTTCAAAAAGAGAGCACAGATAACAGCTTGGTATTACATCTAGACCAGCAGATGGTTTACATTCAGTTGGAAGTCATTAATTCTGAGGTAGATCATATGAGGGAAGGATGCGAACACAGAACTTATTCATTTGCTGAAATGTGGTTTATCATTATGTCTGCTGTGCCAATGTGTGGTGGTATTTCATTGGACACTACTGGCTTGTTATGGGGGGGCTTTGCCAATATATAACAAAATATTCATTCTTTAAAGGAAGTCACCTTATGAACACTAATGTGTTAAATGTCCCATTCACTATCACATTTCAGCACACTCCAGGATGATCTGAATTGATTATTTTGCAGAGGTTTTCTGCATAGTGATGTAAAAGTGATGACACCATTAGGGGTTTCTTGTGCTGTGCTGGTAGAAATTCTATTATATTTTAAAGGGTTTTGACATATACATTTCCCACAGAACTTTGAAACGGCTGTACAAGAGAACATGACTATTAATGGAAAGCCATGGCAGGAATCATCAGATGATCTTCAAAACGGTATGTGAATTTTTCAGTATGCTTTAATTTCGTGTTTTGTTCTTTTAAAAAAAGTTTTTTTATTGAAAGAAAGAATAACAGAGAAATAGTAAAGAAAAGAAGAAAAACTATCTCTCCTTATATATAATTGAGTAAGAACATTCTATATGAACATTCTAAAATGCCCGCCTTTAGTGTTAGGCCGGAAGAACCGCCACTCAGAAGACGCTGGCTGGGTTGACTGGCTGCTTTGTGCAGTCCCGCCCAGCGTTTCAAGGTCTTTTGCATATGGAAGCTGATTGGACTTCACTGCATTCCACACCTCAAACTCACCCCCCTCCCCGCAAGGCAGTTGGAATGTCAGTTGCATATGGAACCTTCAAGGTCTTTTGCATATGGAAGCTGATTGGACTTCACTCCATTCCACACCTCATACTCCCCCCC